TAGCTCTTGTTCCACAGAAGGTCCCCCTGAAAGTTTTCTGCACCCTTCACATTGGCTCCTGAGGCCATCCCATAGGTTCCCAACACTCTTCAACCTCCTTCACACGATAAACTGAGCCATAAACCCCCAATAGTTACTGGGAGGTCAGTTGGCTACTAGGAGTGGATAAGGGGCTTCTTAGGGCTTTAGATCCCCCCACTTCTTGTAGTGTCCCTCCTGAAAGGCCACTGCACTCGCCACAGAGACCCCCAGAGCCAATGTGCCATTCTCCCCAACTCTTTCCTTCCCTGCCCAAGAGATGGGGGTCACCAAGTGCCCAGGATCAGACTGCATGTCTAGCCGATTCTGTTGGGGAAGCACATGCTGGTATTTGGGTCCCTCTCAGCTCCCCAGTGAGCTCTTCCTAAAAGCCCTCTGCACCCTTAGCGTTAGCCCCTGGGTTTTTTCCCATGTCAGTCTTGCTGCTCTCCAAACTCCTTTACACAAGAAATGGGTCTACCAGGTGCCTGGGTTATAATCTCAAGGCCAGCCAGATCCAGGGCGGGAGGTCCATGCTTAGGGCCTCTTATTGTCCCTGCTTTCCCTAGGATCTGTTCTAAAAGGACTCTGAATCCTCTGTGGAAGTTTCCAGGGCTACCTCTGCCAGTCCCTCCTCTCTCATTTCCCCCCTGCGTGAGAAATAGGGTCACGAAATGCCCAGGCTGAGGTTGGGTGGTTAGACAGCTTCAGTGACTCCTTATGAAAGTTGGGACTTACCCTCTGCAGAAAAAATGAGAGACTTCATCTCAGGACTGTGAAGTGGGGACTTAGACCCTGGAGTTGAAATTAGGACTTAGCATCTGGAGGAGTGGAGATTTGGCCCCTGGAGGGGGAATTGGGGAACCTAGTGCTGGTGGCATAAGTTAGAACTTATCCTCTGGAGGTAAAGGCACAACTTGATTTCTAGCAGGAAAGGTCAGGATTCAGTCTCTGAAGCAAAGAGTGGAACTTAGGTTCTGGAGCTATTAGTGTGGGGTTAGCCTCTGGAGGGAGGATTGAGGAAGTAGAAGTTGGCAGCATAGGTTGGGGGTTGATATCTGGCAGCAGGAAGACACAGGACTTAGTGCCTGGCCTGAGGCCCTTGGACTCAATGCTGATGGGTGAAGGTTAACGTCCAGAAATGTAAAGAGTCTGAGATTTTACCCTACTTATAAGCTAACAAGCTCGTCTGTTTCATGGATACAAGCAGAAGACATGAGACTCCTTGGTCACAGATAAAGGACTTTACTATTCACAGCAGAAGCAGAGTATCAGCATGTTTGGGCTGGTTCTCCATGCCCCCAGCATTCTTGGCATGTCTAGCAGGAATGTGCAGGGACACTCAGGGACTGCACATTGCCTTTTGGTAAGTCAGATCGACCAGATGACCTGCCTTGTGGTTTGACAAGATCTTCTGATTTGGGGTTTGACCTTAAGTGTGGGTTTGCAGGTTGACAAGATGTCTCCATTTACTGTCAACCAGATGCCCCTTTTAGAAGTTTGGTCGACTAGATGGCCATTTAGACAACTGGCTTGAAAAGACTCAATTCAGGGGTTTAATGTTTGTCATGGGGGAGGCTTCTGCCACTGGGGAATGGGACTAGAACCCCATTAGATTGAGTTCCCAGATCTAGGGGCTCAGCGAGGGAGAGTCACACTGGGGGCTAGGGGTCACCTGCAATTCCTAGAGATCTTCTCTTGGTGTTCTCAGAACACTCCTCAGCAATCCCACTACTGCCCCTACTACCTTGGTTAAGAAATGGGCTGGAAGTAACCAGGTTAGGAGGCTAGCTAGCTATATTGGGGTTGGGGAAGATGCCCAATTTTAGGTTTCAGATCATCCTTGATCTTCTGAGGGTCTACAATAAAGGCCTCTATATCCTCTTTGAACTGCTGGGGGGCTCCCTATGCCAGCCCTATTGCTCTCTGAACTCCCTCAATTGAGAAATAGGGATAGAAAAGAACCAAGTAAGCCGGGCTCGGTAGCTCAGCCTGTAATCCCGCGCTTTGGGAGGCTGAGGTGAGTGGATTGCCTGAGCCCGTGGGTTCAAGACCCGCCTGGGCAACTTGGCGAGACCTCATCTCTACCATAAATCAAAAACGAGCTGGGCGTGGTAGCACGCGCCTGTAGTTCCAGCTACTTGGAAGGCTGAGGCGGAAGAATCGCCGGAGCCCAGCAGGTTGAGACTGCGGTGGCTGGGAGCCGCCACTGCACTTTAGTCTGGGTGACCGAGTAAGATTCCAACTCAAAAATTAAAAAAAAAAAAAGAAAAGAAAACAGAATCCAGCAACATATAATAATAATAATATACTATGACCAAGGGGGGTTTATCCCAGGAATGCAACACTCTGTCAGATTAACAAGGTTGGTCATGCTACCCAGCAATAAAAAAGAATGAAGGGCTGGGTGCAGTGGCTCATGCCTGTAATCCTAGCACTGTGGGAGGCCAAGGCAGGAGGATTGCTTGAACCCAGGAGTTCGAGACTAGCCTGGGCAGCATAGTGAGACCTCGTCTCTACAAACAATAAAAAAGTTAGCCAGGAATGGTGGCATGCGCCTGTTGTCTCAGCTATTCGCGAGGCTGAGGTGGAAGGACTGCCTGAGCCCAGGAGGTTGAGGCTGCGGTGAGCCATGATCATATCACTTCACTTCAGCCTGGACAGCAGAGTGAGACTTCAATTCAAAACATTAACAAATAAAAAAATAAAATTATCATATTAACAGTCTAAAGAAGCATATATGATCACATCAATAAATGCAGAAAAGTCATTTGACAAAATACAGGAGTGATAAAATAAAAATCAGCAAACTAGACAAGAAGGAAACATCTTCGGCCTATGAAAGAGTCTCTCAAAATACATATAACTAATATCATATATATATATATTTTTTGAGTTGGAGTCTCACTCTGTTGCCCAGACTGGAGTGCAGTGGCATGCTCCTGGCTACTGCAGACTTGATCTGCTGGACTCCGGCGATCCTTCCACTTCAGTCTTCCAAGTAGCCAGAACTACAGGCGCGCGCTACCACACTCGGCTAATTTTTGATGTAGTGTAGAGACAAGGTCTTGCCAAGTTGCCCGGGCTGGTCTCGAGCCCGCAGGTTCAGGCAATCCACTTGCCTCGGGCTCCCAAAGTGCTGGGATTACAGGCTGAGCCATTGAGCCCGGCCCTAATATCATATTAATAATAAAAGACTGCATGCCTTTTTCTTAAGATTGGGAACAAGACAAGGAATATCTACCTTTACCATTTCTATTCAATATAGTACTGGCAGTCTTAGCTAGTGCAATAATGCAAAAAAAAAAAAAATACAGGTTGGAAAGAAAGTAATGAAATTATCTCTATTAACAGTAGACATAATATATATACAAAGAATCTCAGAAAAAATACAGAAATAGTCTTAGATCTAATTAGTGAGTTTAGCAAAGTCATTAGATACAAAGTCAACCTATCATGTATGACAATCACACTTCTATAAATATGCAATGATCAATTGGAAATAAAAGCATACAAATAACATTTATACTAGCACCAAAAAATGAAATATAAATAGATATAAATCTAATAAAACAGGCACAAGATCTATATGCTGAAATCTATAAAACAGTGATGAAAGAAATGGAAGAAGACCTAAATAACTGGAGAAACATGCCCTGTTCATGGACTGGAAAACTCAGAATAGTAAGGATGTCAATTTTCTCCCAATTGTTTTACAGATCTATAGCAACTCCAATTAAAATTGTAGCAGGATTTATTTTTTTGTAGGTGTAGTTAAGCTGATTCAACAATTTATACGAAAGGCCAAAGGAATTAAAATAGCTAAAACAGGTTTGAAAATGAGTAAAGTTGGAGAAACCACACTTCTCAATTTTTTTTTTTTTTTTTGAGTTGGAGTCTCACTCTGTCGCCCAGACTGCAGTGCAGTGGCCACTCCAGCTACCGCAGCCTCGACCTGCTGGGCTCCAGTGATCCTTCCGCCTCAGCCTTCCAAGGAGCTGGAACTACAGGCGCGCGTTACCACGCCCAGCTAATTTTTTGATTTATTGTAGAGATGAGGTCTCACCAAGTTGCCCAGGCGGGTCTTGAACCCGTGGGCTCAGGCAGTCCACTCACCTCAGCCTTCCAATGCGGGATTACAGGCTGAGCCACTGAGCCCGGTTCTACACTTCTCCATTTTAAGGTTAATTTATAGTGACAGATAACAGATCAGTGGTTTCCTGGGGATGGAAGACAGGCACGCAGGGAGGCCGAAGGAAAGGGTTACGAGACACAAGAAAAGTTTTGGGGTAGTGGAAAGATTCATTGTCTCGTTTGTAGTGTTGGTTTCATGAATGTTTATATATGACAAATTTGTCAAATTGTAAATAAAGCTATTTTAAAAGTGTTCTTCCCAAAGTGACATACTACTTTTCTATCCAGTAGGTGGCAGTTGGAACCGTGAGTTTTGCCAGTGTGTTTGTGTCTTATTCTCCAACAGTATTTTAGTTTGTAAAATAACATATAGGAAGTGTAATACCAAAGAAGGTTAAGATTGTGGTATATTTTATAAGATTATGATGAAAATAAAAAGGAACATAATTGTAGTAGGTTATTACCAGGTTACTATTTATTAAGTTCTTTGAAATTTTAGGTACAGTAAATATGAAATGCAGAATAAAGAAAAGCTATGTCCTCCTCACCCCAGGAATTTGCAAAACATCAAGAGGCTGACTGATAAACAATTCTTTGTATTTCTCTAGTACCTTTCATAGAAGGCTTTACAGTGTGTTATCAAAACCACTGTGACCCTTTGTTAAAATGCCCTACATTTTAAAAATTATAAATTAAATTTTAACCTTGTCAGTAATATCATCGCTTCATTTTTGTTTCTACCTAGATTGAAATTTCAGTCCTAGAATTCTCTAGTTGTCTTCAAAGCTTCCTCTGGCAGGAAAGAAGACCTGTCCTCATCCTGTATAGGAAAAGGGGGCAATTCCTTTGACCCCCAGGCCAGTTATCTGTTGAGAAAGAAAAAAGGAGAAACTCTGGCAAAAGGTAATTCACAAGAATTCTTCAAAAACACTTTTATGATTCATAATAATATACTTAGCCACCTCTTCTCCTTGTCTTACTTCTTACCATAAAAAGGAATTACCTGATTAGGCATTTATGCTCCAAATTATTCACATAGATTATAATTCAACAAGCAACCATTTACAACTAACTTGGATTTAAAACTGAGTTTATTTCTATCATCTCCCACCTGTTTAGAAAGGGTTTCTATGTTTGTTTGGTTTTTTTTTATTTTTTATTTTGAGTTGGAGTCTCACTCTGTCACCCAGACTGGAGTGCAGTGGCTGCTCCCGGCAACCGCAGCCTCGACCTGCTGGGCTCTGGCGATCCTTCCACCTCAGCCTTCCAAGTAGCTGGAACTACAGGCGTGCGTTACCACGCCCAGCTAATTTTTTGATTTATTGTAGAGATGAGGTCTCACCAAGTTGCCCAGGTGGGTCTCGAACCTGCGGGCTCAGGCAATCCACTCACCTTAGCCTCCCAAAGTACGGGATTACAGGCTGAGCCACCTAGCCCGGCTGGTTTCTATGTTTTTATACTTCTTTTCAGCTCAAAAGGTCTATGATTTTCATCAGTGTTTGTTCTGCTGCAAAAGATGTTAAAAATCTGGAAATATTTAATTTTTCTTTCTTTTTTTTGGGGAGACAGGGTCTCATTCTGTCACCCAGCTGGCCTCAAACTCCTGGCTTCAAGCAATCCTCCCACCTCAGCCTCCCAAAGTGTATGAGACACTGCACTTGGGCTGAAAATATTCTTATGACATCAAAACAAACAAGTCACCCACGTGTGGTGGCTCATACCTGTAATCCCAGCACTTTGGGAGGCAGAGGCGAGGGGATTGTATGAGCCCAGGGGTTTGAGACCAGCCTGGGCAAATTGGCGAGACCTCGTCTCTACAATAATCCCCTCCCACAATACATTTTTAACATATTAGCTGGGCGTGATGGCATGTGCCTGTAGTTCCAGCTACTTGGAAGGCTGATGCAGAAGGATTGTCTGAGCCCAGCTGGTCGAAGATGCAGTAGCCATGAGCATGCCACTGCATTCCAGCCTGATGACAGAGTGAGACTCCAACACACAAAACAAAAAACAAAAAGAAAACAAAAACAAAAAGCAATCAAGTGATCTTAGAGACACGTTTCAAATACTGGTTTTCCAAGCTCATTTTACTGATTTGAAGAATTTCAACAAATACTGCTGAAGCCAAAAAGATTTGTTTTTAAAGTACTGTACAAAGTAGGCTAAGCATATCATCTTGAGCTTTGGATGACTTACTGTCCAGAAAATCTTTTAAAAATGTTTTTAAGCCTAGCATGATGAGCTTAACATGCCAAACAGAATTACATTTGGGAAGTATGCAAAAGTATCAATCAGTTACTTAGCAGAGGATCCCCCACCCGCAACATAAAAGAAACAGCCATAGCACCTTGAAAATTCCACCAGCTTCAGGCTGCCTCAAAAGACTCTGGGGGGCAATCCCATCCCGGGCACAGGTCACATACATTTCAGAGTAGTCCTTCCCTCCAAAGCAGCACGAAGTTGTTTTATCAACAGGCAACTTCACAGTTTGGAGTCGTTTCCCTAGACCACAAAATGCTTCATTTAAATTTTAGTTCTACACCATCCTAAGTGAACTAATGTAGGAGCAGAAAACCAAGCACTGCATGTTCTCACTTATAAGTGACAGCTAAACTAAGGATCTGCAAAGGCATAGCGAATGGTATAATGGACATTGGAGACTCAGAAAGTGAAGGGTGAGAAAGGTTGCAGGGACAAAAAGTCACCTATCAGGTACAATGTGCACAGGTGAGAGTAGCCCAAACTTCTTCGCCACTATACAATGCAATCATGTCACCAAACACTATTTGTACCCTCTAAAGCTATTGCAATAAAAAAATAAAGTTTAGTTCCAGCAATTTTTTAAAAATTTAAATTTAAATTTTTATTTATTTTTTTAGTTCCAGCAATTTTTAACCTATGCCACATTTCTGAACATGTGGAGTAATAGAAGACTGTGGAGATCAGAATTCATCTATGTATTTCATATTTAACCTACCTTCCCTGACAATTTATTTAGAGCAAAAAGATGAATGCTCTACAGGGAAAGAAGTTCTGCCTATAAATTTTGGGCTATATCTTTGAGCTTTGTTTCCAAAATCATCCCATCGAGACCATCGAATATACCTCTAACTTTGTTAGTAATGAGGTTTCCCCAGCTCCTAGTGTCTGGTGTTTTCTAGACATGACAGGGATTTTTCACTGTGCCATGGGCCTACCTGTCTGAGGATCTACACGAATCACTCTTCCTCCATTGTAGCAGGCCACCCAGAGCTTCCCCTCAGCATCAATACACATTCCATCTGGGATTTGTTCCTCTTTCTCCAGCTTGTAAATACTCCTGCGGTTGGCTATGGTTAAAAAACAAAAACAAAAACAGAACCACAACAGAACAACAGGCCACTCCATATTGAGAATCAAATAATGAGCTTTCAAGCTGATTATAAATACTGATCATTTCAGCTTATCCAGTGTCTGGCGCATGAACAAAGGATTTTTACCACATGATATGGGGGGTATTCACTCCCTTTTGTTTGGGTATAGACATATCTGTTTAAGCTTTCAGAGAAGGAGAGAAAAAAGAAAGCAGACTTCTTACTAAAATACCAGTCGTTCTTTTTGAGGCTGACCTGAACGGAGGCCCTGCACGTCTGTCTCAAGTACTTGTCAGCCTGTGGTTAAACCTTTGCTGTTTTAGTTACAAAAATGCCTACTTTGATTAACTCCAAGATATGTAAGGCAACTTGGTGCCAGTGAACAGCTCATGCACAACAACTAGCAAGATAAAGAAGTTCTTTTTCTGCCTGACTGAATGCTCCAAAATCAAGACTAAATATTAGAAGAGCTTGTTTCTGGTAGGAGGGGCATTCGGAAACCAACCGACCACCTTGAAGGGGGGGAACCTCAGTATACAAAAAACAAATATCAAAATCCAGAGGAACTTTATGCTACAAAATTCAGGTCACTGCAGTAATCAGATCGAGGTATAATGGAAAAAATATTAAAATCTCAAGTAATGAAAATGGGTAAAAACAGCCATAAAAGAGAACATTACATATTTCAAAGCAAAACATCTGTACTGAAATAGTTTGCCTCTGATTATATCTGCAAGGAGAGTCTTGGGATTTTTTTCAAGTCATTTTTATGATTGGTTTTGCTCTTTTGGCTTGGCACCTTTCACGAAACAGTTTCAAGGACTCCCTTGTAAATTCTTCTCACAATTCCTTCCCTCTCAGTTTCCAACCATGGCTCATTTAAAGTGCATTGATGAAGTTGGACAACCTGCAATTCCTTTTTATGCTTTTCCATTTTGAAAGGTTGGTAATTTGCCTTTGAGCACTTGCCTATGGTTAGCTAAAGTACAAGGGAGGAATATCAGCCAAAATCTCTCCTCTTACTTTCTGTTCTTTTGTTCCCTTCTGTTGTATATTATTTGCCTTTGGGCACCTCTTGGTAGGGCAGGATCCCTTTTACAGTGAGCCTTTTTCTTGTGATGATGGCAAGGAAGAGGATTAGGGATCTATCCATATATATATTTTTTTTCTTTTTTCTTTTTTTGAGTTGAAGTCTCACTCTGTCACCCAGGTTAGAGTGCAGTGGCACACTCATGGCCACGCAGCCTCGACCTGCTGGGCTCAGGTGATCCTTCTGCCTCAGTCTTACAAGTAGCTGGAACTACAGGCATGCGCCACCACACCTGGGTAATTTTTTGATTTATTGTAGTAAGTACAATCATTTGATTTATTGTAGAAAGTAAGAGGAGACAAGTTCTCACCAAGTTGCCCAGGTTGATCTCGAGCCCGTGGGCTCAAGAAATCCTCTCACCTCGGTCTCCCAAAGTGCTGGGATTATAGGCGTGAGTTACCACGCCCGGCCTTATATATTTTTTCTTTGAGTTGATGTCTCACTCTGTCACCCAGGTTAGAGTGCAGTGGCACTATCATGGCTCACCACAGCCTTGGTCTTCTGGGCTTATGTGTTCCTTCTGCTTCAGCCTCCCGAGTAGCTGGAACTCCAGGCATGCACCACCATGCTCAGCTAATTTTTAAAATATTTTGTAGAGGCAGAGTCTCTAGGTTTCCAAGGCTGGTCTCGAACTCCTCGGCTCAAGCAATCCTGCTGCCTTGGCCTCCCAAAGTGCTGGGATTTCAAACCTGGGCTACTGTCTGGCCTATTTATATTAATTCTTTTTTTTTTTTTTTTTTGAGTCGGAGTCTCACTCTGTCGCCCAGACTGACCTGCTGGGCTCCGGCGATCCTTCTGCCTCAACCTTCCAAGTAGCCGGAATTACAGGCATGCGCTACCACGCCCGGCTGAGTTTTTGATTTGTTGTAGAGATGAGGTCTTGCTGCCCAGGTGGGTCTCAAACTCGTGGGCTCAGGCAATCCACTCACCTCAGCCTCCCAAAGGTGCGGGATTACAGGCTGAGCCACCGAGCCCGGCTTATATTAATTCTTTTTAAAATTAACCCTTCCCCAGGGATCTATTCATATTATGCCAACTCTGGCTATATCTAATTGTGGTGAAGGTCATGGTCTGACTGGTGGCATAGCCAAATCTGTGTCATCATTACTTATTAGAGTAATAACATTGGAAAGCTCTCTGCTTGACAAATAAGGACCTTTTCACATGGGACGAGGGAGAGGCGCCTTACTAGTCACAAACATACGAAAACAATACCAGCAGTATTGAGACAAATAACGAAAAAGAACATACATATCTGCCCTGTCTGCAGGTCATAGTCAAAGGCATCCACAGAGTAGGACAGGCTGTCGATGTAATAGAAAACTTTGTGGTCTAGGGACCAATCCAAACCATTGGAGATGTCCACCTGGTCAAAGTACTTTTGCACGTGGTGGTCAGGAAAGAGGGAGTACAGGGATCCTTGGTGCCGCTCAAGAACTGCCGGAGCTGTTTCCTCAGCCATGGTGCCTACAAAAACCAAAGTGCACTGAGCTCTCCCCACAGAATCTCACTGCACCCTCCTTTCTCACCAGGATCCATTCCAGTGTTTAAATCAAGGAAATTGCTATACAGTTTCAATCTGGAGCCTATGTTTTATTTATTTATTTTCGTAGAGACAGGATCTTGCTCTGTTGCCTAGGCTAGAGTGCAGTAGTGTGATCATAACTCACTGCAGCCTCGAACTCCTGGGCTCAAGTGATCCTCCTCCTGCCTCAGCCTCCTGAGTAGCTGGGATTATAGACATGGGTCACCGCTTGGCTAATTAAAAAACAATTTTTGCTGGGCGCGGTGGTTTATTCCTATAATCCCAGCAATTTGAGAGGCCGAGGTGAGAGGATTGCTTGAGCCCATGGGCTCGAGACCAGCCTGGGCAACTTGGCGAGACCTCATCTCTACAATAAATCAAAAAATTAGCCAGGTGTGGTGGCACATGCCTGTAGTTCCAGCTACTTGGAAGGCTGAGGCAGAAGGATCACCTGAGCCCAGCAGGTCGAGGCTGCGGTGGCTGTGAGTGTGCCACTGCACTTCAGCCTGGATGACAGAGTGAGACTCCAACTAAAAAAAAAACTTTTTTTGTGTTTAGAGACTGGTTCTCATTATGTTGCCCAGGCTGGTCTCGAACTCCTGGGCTCAAGCAACCTTCCTGCCTCAGCCTCCCAAAGTGCTGGGATTATAGGCACAATCTTTGTTTTTTTGTTTTTTTTTTGGAGCTGGAGTCTCAGTCTGCCACCCAGGCTGGAGTGTAGTGGCACGGTTCATGGCAATCACAGCCTTGACCTGCTGGGCTGATGTGATCCTTCTGCCTTAGACTTCCAAGTAACTGGAGCTACAGGAATGCGCCATCACGCCTGGCTAATTTTTTGATTTATTGTAGAGACGAGGTCTTCCCAGGTTGTCCAGGGTTCAGACAATCCTCTTGCTTCCACCTCCCAAAGTGCTGAGATTACAGGAGTGGGTCACCGCATCCCGGCAGCATGACCTTTCTTATGATGCAAATTAAAACTGCACTGACAGGTTCAGTTTCCAGAAAAGGAATAAACACACACCAACCTCATTTTCTCCCACTGAGCACAACAATAAAACCTGGATAAAATGTATGGCACAGCTATGTGAGAATCCTGAAAAGCAAATATTAGCAGGCAGCTCAAGGGAAGAATGCCTGAATGTGAAATGCCACTTAATTGGTACTGAGAGGTGAGTTCTTCATTTTCTTCCTCAGTATCTCTCAGCCTGGAATCTGAAAGTGTGCACTGTGGTGCAGACAGAGATCCAAAAGAAACCTCTAGATTTGGCTCAAGCAACAGAAAAAGACATTTCTGAAGCTCAGAGAAAGTGGAGAAAATCCCTAGGCTATTTTCCACTCCTTTTCCTCCATTCTGTCATGTGCCATTCCCCAGACAATTCTGCAGTAGGGGTAACCACAGCAGAGAGAACGGCCAGCACCTGGAAACTACAGGGATCCAAACTCCGAGGGAAGGGGCCATTCCTCTCCATTTGGTGAAGCTTCAGCTCCAAAGGGGTGGGGCCAAACCCTGCTGCTTTATTCTCTTTCTCTGTCCTCCAGCTGCTTGGCCCCGGAGGCAGCACAATCATAGAAATGGGTGGTTTCTGGCTGCAGGAAGGAAAAGGAGAGCTCCAGGAAACTGGAAAGAACGAAGAAATAGTGAGGCTGCAGTGGCTCAGGCATGCAACCCCATAAAGCTGTTTATGATCTACTAGGCTTACTCCCAACACATTCTGGCTGTGTCACCCAGGCTGGTCTGGAACTCCTGGTCTCACGCATGGATTGAATTCTAATGAGCATACCAAAGATGTTGAGGGTGGAGCTAACAGATTGACCACCGAGTGGCACAGAAATGGGACAGATCCTAATAGCATTTAATAGAAAGCAGGTTGGAACTTGTGGCTTGACCCTAAACATACACATTGCCTGCTAAGACAACTATAACGATGTTGAACTCCTGGGCTCAAGCAATCCTCCTGTCTCAGCCTCCCAAAGTGTTGGGATTACAGGCATGAGCCACCGTGCCCGGCCGGTAACAGCATTCTTCAAAGGATTTAAACGAAACTTAGGGCCTCAGAATATTCAAAATGTCTAGGACAGAACCCAAAATTACTTGGCAACACAAAGGAGCATGGAAATCTCAACTTGTGTAGGAAAGGATAATCAACAGGTGCCCAAAACAAGGTGACAAAGAGGCGATGTATATGGGAAGTCTGAATAGCAAGCAAGACAGGGTGGATCCTCCATCCCTCGGGAGAAGAATGTTCACTCAGCAGTTTCTTGCTATAGGGCAGTTGGGCTTATTTGATGAATATTGCTCCATATGATCTGCCTCACAGAAAGAGATGCCTGGAACATGAATGTGAATCCCCTGCTTCTTGGAAAGGGCTCTTCCTCGGTGGGATAGAATAATCTGGGGCCCTGGCTTCACTATCTAGCAGCAAACACAGACAGGTCAGATCTTGGGTGTGGTAATACCGTCAGGGTACAATCACCTTGAGACTCCATTCAGACTATAAGATGATCCCACCCTTTTCTGGGTCCATGGCACCTGTGAGCACCTGCTGAGAGCTATGACCTCTCTCCGGAAAAAGGTTCTCAGGTGCTCCTGGCAGATGCATACCTTGAGTAAGTACACCCACAATGACACCCACAATTTTAGAGGTCTCCTGATGGTCCAGAGATTGCAAGTTAAGAACTCAGGTCTTGAAGGACATTTTTATTTTTGTCTCACAAAGTGCCATAGAACTGTAAACTTCTAGCCATAAGGGAGAGAGCAAATCAATTTCATCAGGGGGTGAAGTATCCAATCATATTTTTTTTATCCTGAAGAAATTACTGGCAGAAGGGCTTCCAATGGATTCTCTTTTTTTTTTTTTTTTTTGAGTTGGAGTCTCACTCGGTCGCCCAGACTGGAGTGCAGTGGCAGCTCCCGGCCACCGCAGCCTCGACCTGCTGGGTGCTGGCGATCCTTCCGCCTCAGCCTTCCAAGTAGCTGGAACTATAGGCACGCGGTACCACGCCCGGCTAATTTTTTGATTTATTGTAGAGATGAGGCCTCGCCAAGTTGCCCAGGCGGGTCTCGGACCCGCGGGCTCAGGCAATCCACTCACCTCGGCCTCCCAAAGCACGGGATTACAGGCTGAGTCACTGAGCCTGGCTTGGATTCTCATTTTTAATCTTTAATCTTTCTATCCATTCTGGATGACATCATCAGGGAGATGAAGAACAGTCCACAGTCAGCTGCTCAGCTTCCCCTCCCTTCCATACTGAGTGTGCACAGAGCCAGGACAGCATGGCTGATGAGTGAGGGTGCAGTGTGGGGAGAAACAGCAGAGATGGAGAATCAACTTTGGCAAACTTAGAGGGTTATTGTGATGGGAAGTATATGAGATGTATGTGTGAAATGCATAATCTAATTGAAAACTGTAGTTACAATTGTTTTAAAGGCCAGGCGCCATGGCTCACACCTGTAATCTTGGCACTTTGGGAGGCTAAAGTGGGAGGATTGCTTGAACCCAGGAGTTTGAGACCAGTCTAGGCAACATAGACTCTACAAAACTGTAAAGAAAAACCAAAAAACTGCTGGGTGTGGGGGTGTATGCCTGTAGTACCAGCTACTTGGGAGGCTGAGGTGGAAGGGGGTTGAGTCCAGGAGGTTGAGGCTGTGGTGAACTGTGATCATGTCACTGCACACTGCACTCCAGCCTGGGTTACAGTGAGACCCTGATTTAAAAAAAAATGTATATATATATGTAAAAGCTGCATATGCCACTCTGCAACCATCATAGTAAAGATTGGTTTAAGCAAGAATCATCAATTAATGTAGTACCTAAGGGAAAAATTTTTGATGAGGACAAGGATATTTGCCTGAACTTAAATTATCTTCCCATATTGTAGCCAGCCTCCAAGATAGCCCCTGACGATCCCTGGTTTCCAGCGGTCACGCTCTTTTTTTTTTTTGAGTTTCTGTCGCCCAGACTAGAGTGCAGTGGCTGTCGCCTAGACTGGAGTGCACTCCAGCCTTGACCTGCTGGGCTCTGGCGATCCTTTCGCCTCAGCCTTCTGAGTAGCTGGAATTACAGGCACGCGCTACCACGCCCGGCTGATTTTTTGATTGATTGTAGAGATGAGGTCTCGCTGCCCAGGTGGGTCTCGAACCCGCGGGCTCAGGCAATCCACTCACCTCAGCCTCCCAAGACGCGGGATTACAGGCTGAGCCACCGAGCCTGGCTGCAGTCACACTCTTGTTAGTTTGCTCTGTCGTTGTTTGTGTGACCAATAGCATATGGCAGAAGTGATGGTGTGTCACTTCCAAGATTGGTTAAAATGAGACTGTAGCTTCCATTTGGGTTCTCTCCCTGTCCCCCCATCACTGGCTCTGGAGAAAGCCATCTTCTGGGCAGCCCTATAGAGAGGCCCACAAGGTAAGGAACTGAAGCCTCCCACCAATCCCTACCTACTATGTGAGTGAGCCGGGACGTAGATCTTCCAGGCCCTTCAGGGAATCCAGCCTCTTCCGAGGCTACAGCCCAGGCCGACAGCTTGACTACAACCTCGTGAGACAGCCTGAACTAGAACCACCCAGCAAAGTTGCACCCAGATTTGTGACCTTCAGAAACCATGTGGGGTAATAAATATTTGTTATTTTAAGCCACTAAATTTTAGGATAATTTGTTACATAGCAATAGATAACTAACAACCTCCCACAAATTGCTTATAAATTGAAATTTAAAAAATAGTGACTATGCAGTAGAAAAATCTGACAGGATCTTAATTGTGTGATTAAAATTAACATCACCAAAGAGGGGAAAATGGACATCATGTGCCTCCAGATGGGATACCCACAGGATAAAACATCACCATGTGGTATTCCAGTCAGGAACGTATAACATCAACCTAATCACAAAGAACCATCAGACAAATACAAGATGAAGAATGTTCTATAAAAAAAGGGGGAGTTGGGTAGGACCGGTTGTATTCTTCAAAAACAGCAATGTTATGAAAAACAAAGAAAAGCTATGAAAATATTCCAGATTAAAAACAATGAAAGGGATATAACAATAAAATGCAATACATGGCCTGAGCCCACGGGTTCGAGACCCACCTGGGCAAATTGGCAAGACCTCATCTCTACAATAAATCAAAAAATCAGCCGGGCGTGGTAGCGCATGCCTGTAATTCCGGCTACTCGGAAAGCTGAGGCAGAAGGATCTCCGGAGCCCAGCAGGTCGAGGCTGCGGTGGCCGGGACCGATCACTGCACTCCAGTCTGGGCAACAGAGTGAGACTCCAACTCAAAAAAAAAAAAAATGCAATACATGATCCTAGACAAGCGGGAAATGCTATAAAGGACGTTATTTTGGCAATTGACAAAACTGGAGTGTAGATAGTACATCAGATCAAATTATTGTATCAATGTTAAACTTTTCTTTTTAATTTGAGTCGGGGTCTCACTCTGTTGCCCAGGCCGAAGTGCAGTGGCACGATCAAGGCTCACCCTAGTCTCAACCTTCTGGGTTCAGGTGGTCTTTCTGCCTCAGCCTTCCGAGTAGCTGGGACTATAGGTGTGTGTCACCATGCCCAGCTAATTTTTTGACTTTTTTTTGTAGAAACGAGGTCTCACTATGTTGCCTAGGCCTCGAACTCCTGGTCTCAAGTGATCCTCCCTCCTCGGCCTCCCAAAGTGCTGGGATTACAAGCGTGAGCCACTGCACCCAGCCTAACGCTGAACTTCTTTAAGTTGATCACTGTAACTGTGGTCATGTAAGAATATATCATTTCTCTTGGGAAATTCACACTGCAGTATTTTCGGGGTAGAGGCACACATGATGTATATGCAACATATTCTCAAATGATTCTGTAGGTAAATGTGTTTAGATACCTACAGAGGGCAAATGATAAAGCAAGTGGAACAAAATGCCAACAATAGGTGAATCTAGGTAAAAGACATACAAATGTTGTTTGTACTAGTCTTATCTTTTTTCTGTAAATCTGAAATTATTTCCAATTTAGACATCATCAACAACAAAATCTTTGTATTTAAAACTCAGTTAACCACCAAAGTACCACACAGATTTTAGTCTTTGCTAGAGACAGAGACAGAAATGGAAAGGAATGTCTAGGAGGATTTTCTCATAGGATTTTTTTTTTTTCAGTAACATAAGTTCCCCAGGCAAGAATAGAAGAACCTAAGATCCATTATGAATATCACTTTGGCTACTACAGCAGCAAGAACTTTCCAAATCATAGTGTTACCTCCAAAGCTCAGTAAGTAGGTACCAGAGAAATCATACCAGCAAAGTATCTCCCGGCAGGATCCACCTTCCCGTCATTGAATCGATTGTTTTTCTTGTCTTTATCCACTGTGGCCAGGACAACTGCAGATTGATCTTCCCAGTTCAAAGCACAGAACTTTGTTCCGATGGTGGCGACGTAGCCTCCTGACTGGCGGAGGGCCACAGAGCTGACTGGGGCATCTGTAGAGACAAAGCAGCCGTCAGAAGGCAGCAGCAGCTCAGTGGCCGAGCAGCTCACTGAGGCCACGGTGCCAGCAGGCATCTCTTAGAGAAGGAGCCCAGCTCTTTTGACAGTGGGAGTGCTCTCTTCCTTCTGTGGAATAGGTAAGGCTACATCACCGAGTATAACTGTGAAGCATGAACTCTGTGTGTTGTTCTGAGTAGCAAGGACAGAAAGGTGAATAAAACCCAACTCCTTAAGTGGGTATTAAACTAAGGATCTGCAAAGGCATAGAGAACGGTATAATGGACATTGGAAACTCAGAAGAAGGAAAAGGGAAGGGGTGAAGGGATGAAAAATCACCTATCAGGTACAATGTGCGCAGGTGGGGATGGTGGGTATACCTGCAGCCCAGACTTCTTTGCCATTATATACAATGCAACCATGTCACCAAAAACTATTTGTATCCCCTAAAGCTATTGAAATTAAAACAAGAGATAAATAAAAATAAAGTGTCTGATGAATTAAACAGAAAATCCAAAACTAACTCCTCTGGAAACTCCCAGTCTAATGGGAGAAGCAGAGAGGTCAAACCACATCACCCACGATATGGGGCAGGCACCACATCAAGTTCAGAGGAAAGGTTCCTAATCTGGGGGCAGCGGGACAGTCGTCACAGAGCAAACAATGCTCAATTTTGCCTGACCTCCAGAAAATTCAGAGACACAAACTGTGTTTAGTTACAACAACTGGTTCTGTGACATCTCTTTCCCCCTCCAATACAGAACTTGTCTTTTTTCCCCAGAGGTCCCTATGTTACATGTATTTAATTGAAAATTGTTTCTTAAATCCTTTTTGGAAGTAATCATGGTCAAAATAACATATAGAAATGTAGATGCAGTGATAATATAATTGCATCTTTTCATTATATTACTATATTTTGCATCCAAAATTTTAGGTTTTCTGGGTTTAAGATTTTTCTTTTCTCTCTCTCTTTTCTTTTCTTTCTTTCTTTCTTTTTTTTTGAGTCTAAGTCTCACTTTGTTGCTTAGGCTGGAGTGCAGTGGCGTGCTGGGATTACAGGTGTGAGCCACTACTCCCGGCCTGGTTTAATATGTTTCTATGTATAAGATTTTTTTTTTTAGAGACAGGGTCTCACTCTGTCGCCCAGGCTGGAGTGCAGTGGGTACAACTATAGCTCCCTATGGCCTGAACTCCTGGGCTTAAGTGGTACTTCCACCGCAGCCTCCTAAGTGTCTAGGACTCTGGGTACTTGCCACCATGCCCAGCTAATTTTTTTTTAAGTGGAGAGATTTATTAGCATGATGAGCAGTCACAGGAAACAGATTTACCAGAACTGATTTTGAAAACATTTCCCAAGCACCCATTCAGTGTAAGGTGATGGAGCCCTGGGAGCAGCTCTTAGCTCAAAGGCTGATTTGAGTTGTCAAGGGTCCTGGGAACGTGCAGGACACTATTAGAAGGGTCACAATCTCAGCAAGGAACCCAACCTGCGGCCTGAGACTTTTCCTGGGAGTTCACTAAGCTACTGCTGACACTATAAGCCCTCGCCATAGTTTGGGGGCGGGGAGGGGGTATGTGGATTATGGGTAGGCATGTGTGCATACTAGGAAAGAGACTAGGGCAGGCAATGGGGCCCCGCACCCCACTTGGCTCTCAGAGGTCACAGTCACTTTGCATCCAGTCACAGTCATATTTCTGGGTGAATTAAAATGTCCATACTTCTACACTGTTAGTGGGAGTGTAAACTAGTACAGCCTCTGTGGAAAACAGTGTGGCGATTCCTAAAAGGTCTAAAAAACGACCCTCCAGACGACTCTGCAATTCCCCTACTGGGAATATACCCGGAGGACCTCAAATCACTCTATGAAAAAGATACCTGCACACACATGTTTATTACAGTGTTGTTCACAGTAGCAAAAACATGGAACCAACCGTGTTGCCCATCAAAGGAGGACTGGATTAAAAAAATGTGGTACATATACATGATGGAATATTATGCAGCCATAAAGAAGGACAAAACTTCGCAGCAACTAGGATGGACTTAGAGACTATAATACTGAGTGATCTATCACAGAAACAAAGAACCAAGTATCACATGTTCTCACTCATAAGCGGACTTTAAACAACTATCATAATACTATAAGAAAGGGATTTGTAGCCAGGCTCGGTGGCTCAGCCTGTAATCCTGCACTTTGGGAGGCAGAGGTGAGGGATTGCCTGAGCCCATGGGTTCGAGACCTGCCTGGGCAACTTGGCGAGACCTCATCTCTGCAATAAATAAAAAATGAGCCGGACATGGTAGCGCTCACCTATAATTCCGGCTACTTGGAAGGCTGAGGTGGAAGGATTGCCAGAGCCCAGCAGGTCGAGGCTGCGGTGGCCGGGAGTGGCCACTGCACTCCAATCTGGGCGACTGAGTGAGACTCCAACTCAAAAAAAAAAAAAAAAAAAAGAAAGGGATTTGTAGTGGTGGGAAACTGCCAGGGGAGAGGGGGGCACACCTCATTAACAAGGGTACCTGCATAATGAACATTTGTATACATAACCTTGAATTATACCTCACATATTTAAAATTAAAAATTAAAAAAAAAAGCTCTTCCTTCTCATTAAAAACAAGAATTTGAGGTCCCCAGTTCTGGGTTGAGAAAAGAGTGTCCCAAAGTTATAGAAATTCCTGGTATTTTTTCCCCGTGAGCACAATAAAAACAGGAAACTTTTTTCTTTGTCAATAATCACATCAAGCCCATTTCCTTAGAAAGTGATAAACCCTTTCTTTGGAATCCACAGGGCCATAAGTGGACTCATGGAATCACTCTCAAATGCACACGAAATTCCTATTTTGTTCAGTGAACAAAGATAGTCCAAAAGCTTTTCTTTTCACATTCAAAGAAGGGAGATACCTGCTATTTATTTATTTACTAATTTATTTATTTTTAATGAAGGTCTTGGCCTGACCCAAGCCATAGCCAGGCCTTTAATTTCCCATGCTGTTATCTGAAGGTTAAGGAAAGGCAGAAACTACAGTGCCTTGGCATCAAAACAAAACTGGGAATGTTTTCCCTCACGTGAAGAGGAAAAGGAACGTAGCAGCCGTTCATAATTTACTCCTGGTTTCAAAGTGGGAGCATATGGAGTAGGACAGAGAGCATGACAATCCCCAAAGTTGTAAAGCATATACCATATACTTTAACAAGAAGGGCCTCAGGGAATGAAAAACACTGGGTGACTGCGCCTCCCCTGGGAAAAGGTAGCTGACTGTGAAGATGGAGCCCAGCCTTCATCCTTACCCACAGACATTCGCTGAACTTGTTTGGTGAGCGAGTCCCACCGGCAAACCTTTCTTGTAGGAATATCTACGAAGAGCAGAGAGTTGGACGCTTCCTCCCATACTGGAGACTCACCACACCGGCAGTTCTCCAGCAAAACACACTGAATCTTAATGGAAGACATTGTTGTGGAGGAGATCTAATGAAGGTAACAGAGATAAAATGAAAGCTAATCGTACAGAACAAATTCAGTAAAACATCTGGCTTAAGGCCTTGGTAAGATCTCAGTGCAGACTATTTGATGAGAACTGACAGGGCTGGATACGCTTTCCCCAACTCAGAACAAGATATGCAATGCGACAGGAAGAGACATGTATGCAAAAGAAGAAAGAGACTACAGGAGAGAACATGACACATCTGCAATCAACTTACCCGTGACTTTATTTCAAGCTATCTTTAAAGAAGAAAAAAAGTAACACTCTTGACATCCACACCTCAGCACTAGTGACCCTCAGAGAGCAGGCTGTTGAGACAGTGCAAGACTGCCCTTTATGTCAGCACCTTGAGTCCCAAGGCAGGTCAGGGGGCAGGCAGCTCTCTCATTGGTGGCCTCTCTGAGTGCCTGCAGGCTGCATTCTCCTGCCATCTCTCCCCGCCTTTTGTTGATGCTGTTGATCCCTTTCTCCGGCAGTTAAGAGGTCAGGACCCTTCCTCATCTTCATTTTTCTGAACTGCATTTATTTTATTTATCATCTATCTTCTCTGTGTGGTTGATTTTATGAAGTGTATTTTTAGAACTATGTTCATCAGTGATAGTATACTGAACCTGAACTAATAACTATTTTCAAATTCAGACAAGGGGTGGTGAAATGGACACCGTTTGGGCACCATGGTAGGAACTGACAGCCCCTCAGTGATTTATTGCTTCTTAGGAAGGTGCTGCACCAGTTTGGCAAGGAGTCCACACCAGAAGGCAAGCAACATTCTATGCTGGGACTTTAGACCAGAGACCATGATCAGTGAGTTAGGAGAAGGACAAGTGCACTTACCAGACAAAAGAAAAAAGAGACGGTGACTAGCAAAAAGAAAAACAATCAGATAAGAATCACATGTGAGGAGGAAAGACAGGCAAATTTCCAGAGCTTTCTCTCTTTCTCAGCCTCTGCCCTGAGAAGGTGAGTTTTCAGGAATCATAGACATTACCTGTATCCTCATCCTTCTCCCAGGGTGGCTATCTCCTTTGAGGATAATGGTCCCACACATGGGTGGACAAATGAATAGAAGTGAAAAAAGAAAAATAATCTTTCACTTAATATTTCCTTCAATGAGCTGGGCATGGTGGCTCACTCCTATAATCCCTGCACTTTAGGAAGCTGAGGTGGGGGGTGGGGGGAGATTGCCTGAGCCCAGGGGTTGGTGACCAACCTGGACAACAAATCGAGGCCTTGTCTCTACAAAAAAAAAAAAAAAAAATTTAGAAAAAAACAAAATGAAAGAAAGCTGGGCATGGTGGCATGTGCCTGTAGTCCTAGCTACTTGAGAGGCTGAGGAGGAGGGGAGGATCTTCTTAGCTCAGGAAGTGGAGGCTGCAGTGAGCCATGATGGTGCCACTGCATCCCAGCCTGGGCAACAGAATGAGATCACAACTCAAAAAACCTTTTTTTCCCTTTAATAAACTGCATTAAAACAAAACAAAACAAAAATAATAGAAAGAAAGAAAGAAACACAGGCCAAACCAGCCCCAAACACTGACTGCTTGCATCTGTAGAATTTGAAATGTTCTCAGCTGTTAAAAAACGGGATCAGCTGGGCGCAGCGGCTCACACCTATAATCCCAGGACTTTGGGAGGTCGAGGTGAGAGGATTGGCTGAGCCCACCGGTTCGAGACCTGCCTGGGCAACTTGGCGAGACCTCCTCTCTACAATACATAAAAAAATTAGCCGGGTGTGGTGGCGCATGTCTGTAGTTCCAGCTACTTGGAAGGCTGAGGCAGAAGGATCACCTGAGCCTAGCAGGTCGAGGCTGCGGTGGCCGGGAGTGTGCCAATGCACTCCAGCCTGGGCGACTCGAACTCAGAAAACAAACAAACAAACACAAAACACAAAACACAAAACAAAACAAAAAACAGGATCAATCCCTGCAGGTCCAATCAAAGGTGAACACACAAACAAAAACAACAAAAAACCGAAACCGAGCTCAGACTCCAAAGGCCTTCATGCCAACAATCTTAGATAAGACATCAGAGGCAAGACTTTTGCAACAGCGACTTTTAACCCCAGGCTCCGTCGTGCAAGCGGGGGTGGGGGAGGGGGTGTGCGCCAATGCCCCATTTCTGCCAGGCTGTGGCCGCAAAGGGGTGGCTGGCAGCGGGGAGCGGAGACGGGGCGTCAGGCACCCGCGCTGTATCTGGGGTACCTGGGCAGGGGCGGGGTCGCCACACAGTCTGGTAGCACTGTGGCGGCTTCGGGCGACGGCGACAGTGACCGCGAGGCACTGGGAAGCTGAAGGTTGAGCCCGCTTGGTCCCCACGCGGGGCTCTGCCGAGGGCGTATCAGCTGGCCCGGCCGAGCGGGCGCGGGTCCCTGGGTGGGCACAGGGCCATCGGCCTCCTTCCGGCTGCCTCGGTCAGGCGGCCCGGCGAGCTGGTGTCGCTCTGCTGTCGTCAGGGCCTTCCCTCTGCAGGGCGTGGGCGGGGACGCCGGCCTGACCCGGGCACTCACCAGGTTGGCGACTTCTCAGGCGGTTCCAAGGTCAGGCGGGGAGCGCGGGGAGGGAACCCCCGCCCGGACTCGGCAGTCCAGCAGGTGGAGGTCGCAGGCCTGGGGCCCGCCAGCACCCGGTCCTGGTCCCCGGGCACCTCCAACACCGTAGGTCTCCTTTCTTGGGGCTGGAAGAATCTTGTAAAGCCACCGCCGGCAGGCGCTGGGGTCCTGAGGAGAGGCTCGGGGCCCAGTGATCCTAAGCTTTGGAGTTTGTACAGATTAGCTAACGTCTGTCTCTTGAACTAGAACAAGTTAAATGCCTAACAGAGAAGGTAGGATGGTTAAACACTAACAGGTTGAAAAGGAAAGAAAGAGACGGTTAAGCAACACCTCTGCCTCCGCTAGAGCTGAGAAGACCCTGATGGCTGGAGGCCAACTCTTGCAAAACGTTTTTGGTGGGGAAGAGGAAAGGCTTGATTTGCTTTGATTTTAAATCGTATGGTTTAAACGTCTCTAAATATAGTACTCAGCTTCACATTCCCCATGGAGTTCTGGTCCTGCCACCTGACTATCCAGACTTTCTCCAGATAACCCACAAGTTTAAAACATTTTTAACAATAGAGACAGGGTCTTGCTCTGTTGCCCAGGCTGGAGTGCAGTGGCACGATCACGGCTCACCACAGCCTCCATCTCCTGGGCTTAGGTGATCCTTCTGTCTCAGCCTCCAGAGTAGCTGGGATTACAGGTGTGTGCCACCCCGTGTGGCATATTTTAAAATTTTTATAACTGTAGCTCTAATACTCTTTAGTTCACCAAGGAGGGAAGGCCAGAAGTCAATATTCAAAGGCACAAGAAAGCTGAGGCAAGCAGGAAATGGTTGGAGCAACCTGAGCTCAAAGTTTCAGGTTAGTCACAGAATAACTAGCACTTAGGGCCTCAATTATTTTTCTTTCACCCAGAGAGGTACTTAAGCAACTACTCTCCCATGTTCCCATTTACAGATGGGAAAACACAAGTCTATAAAGTGAGCAGACTCCCAAAGCCACACATTCATCTGGGAAAAACCTGGCCAATAGCCCAAACCGTCAGTCAAAACATAGGAACTTAAAGGATACTTTCTTGGGCGATCCCCAGATGTTGGGGATCTCTGGGACCCAGTTGCACCCTCTCTCTGAGAAGTCTCTTTCTATCCCATGGCCTCCTCTACTTCCTTAATGATAATGACTCCCTAACCTGTATCTCAGCCCAGATCTCTCCCCCAGGATACAGGCCTGTAGATGGACCCTTCTCAGTGGCCCCACTGAGGTATCCAAAAGGTTATTCTCCACCAACCTCCTAAACACTCTGCTTTGGTGAATGGGACTATGGTGCATCATTAGAGGGTACAAGCCCTGACACCTAACTAGATCCCTTTTTTCCCTAACTCAAATCCAGTTAGTCAACAAATCATAGAATTGTCCCTTTAATATCCTTCTATGTTGGCATCACCTTAATTCATTTAGGCCTTTCCCATTTCTTTTTATTTTATTTTAAATATGTGGGGTACAAGTCAGGATTTTGGTACATAAGTGATATACGTGCAGGTGAAGTTTGGGCCTCCCACTGGTCCTTACTTCCCCTGGTTTAGGATCAGGTACCCTTAGTGATGTTACGTACCTCCGCCCACCTCCCTCCCCTGGCTCCCCTGGCAGTGTTCTGCTACTGCCGATCCCTCTCTTGTAGTATTGTGATAAATGTTCAGGATCCACTTATGAGAACATGTGGTATTCAGTTCTTTGTTTCTGCGATAGATCACTGAGTATGATAGACTCTAAATCCATCCAAATAGTTGCAAAGTCCATAATTTTGTCCTTATTTATGGCTGTGTAATATTTCATCATGTATGTTTTTTGTTTTTTTTCTGAGTCGGAGTCTCACTCTGTCACCCAGACTGGAGGGCAGTGTCCGCTCCCGGCCACCGCAGCCTCGACCTGCTGGGCTCCGGCGATCCTTCTGTCTCAGCCTTCCAAGTAGCCGGAATTACAGACATGCGCTACCACGCCTGGCTGATTTTTTGATTTATTGTAGAGATGAGGTCTCGCTGCCCAGGCGGGTCTCGAACCCGCGGGCTCAGGCAATCCACTCACCTCAGCCTCCCAAGGCACGGGATTACAGGCTGAGCCACCGAGCCAGCGTTTTTGCTATTGTGAACAGTGTTGCAATAAACATGTGTGCAGGTATCTTTTTTGTAGGATGATTTGCAATCCCTTGGGTATATTCCCAGACGAGGGATTGCTGGGTCATATGGAAGGTCAATTTCTAGTTCTTTTAAAAATCGCCACACTGTTTTCCAAAGAGGTTGAACTAGTTTGCACTCCCACCAACAGTGTAGAAGCATTCCCTTTTCTCCGTATCCTCGCCAGCATCAGTTGCTTTTTGATTATTTAATGATGGCCATTCTTACTGGAGTTAGCTGGTATCTCAATGTGGTTTTGATTTGCATTTATTTCT